GGTCTCACACACGACAGCGTGGGTTGCCGGGGACGCAGAAAGTGTCTGTATGTCACACACGACAGCGCGGGTCGACGGGGACGCAGAAAGTTTCTGTATATAACACACGACAGCGCGGGTCGGCGGGGATGAAAGCGCCCACGGCCCAGCAAGGAAACGGGAGCCTCACAGGAAAGAGGGTGGCGCGCGAGCTGCCAATGAGTGCTGGCCCTAGACATCATGGAGCCTGCCACTGGTGCGCAGGGCTCAGACGGGCAGGGGGACCGGCCTGGCCAGGCCTCCCTGCTGCGCAGCCCGGGTCAGCCACGCCACTTACCAGGCTGCTGGCACCGGGGATCTCAGCTCGGTCACCTGCCGTGTTGTCAGGGTAGACGGACAGAGGAAGATGCCCGACTTCCACGAGCAACAGGCCCGCCAGTCGACACACCAGAGGACTCGGGATGGTAACCACCTCGACCAGGCTGAAGTGTCCTGTCCGTGCAGGGGGACGAGGAGCTCCCCGAGGGCTGGCAGGGTGCTAAGCTGCTGAGTTCTGGACCGGCAGCTCGGACCCCATGGAAACACCAGCAGAGAGGACAGAGGGGCCGTGTCTATAGGCCACGTGAACCCCAAGGGCTTCGCCACGTGCTGGGGCTCCCTGGAAGACGCTTTGCCTGACACACCAGATGGAATGGTGCCCACAATGCAGCACTGGCTGGGAGAAAGCACCAAGGTACAAGGCAGCCCAGGGACGGCCGTGCAGACACACGTGGGCCAAGCTCTGCACGGGCGCGGGCCCGGAGACGGCCGTGCCGAGTGGAGCTATTGGGAGCCAGCTGGATGGGGCCGGGGTCATGCTCGCAAGACAGAGGCTTCATCAATTAGAAACCACAGGGAGGAAGACAGAAGAGTTTTCCTGGAGAAAACCCAAATCCTTAAATGTCGCCCGAATGCTAAAGCAGCTTGGTCCTGTGGGAACGGCACAGATCTCTGTGTGAACGAGGACGGAGCTTTGCTGAACTGGCGTTTCCGGTCAGGCCCCGTGAGTCTGCAAAGTCCCGAAGAAGCACCCGAAGGTGCCCGGACCAGCCACACGGCTGCCGGGACATCCCTTCCCCTGCGACTGTACTGAAGACCACACACGGCATCTGAAGGCTTTGGAGACCCAAATCAGGGTCAGCCTAAGGCCACCCGGGGGCGGGGGGCAGGGGAACTGGGCCCTGCCTCCCCTGGGACCCCAGCCCACCCTGATGCGAAGCAGAGGGCCCCAAAGGGGAGACGCCCTGCGGTCATCACTCAGGAGAGGGTGGGCTCTAACAGGAGGTCAGAGCTGGGCCTGGGCAGCCGGGGCCCCGATGTGGCAGGCGCAGCTAAGCGCTGAGCTCCAGAGAGGCAGTGCTCAGGCCAGCCAGGCGCTGGGACAGGAGCCCTGAGCCCCAGTGGGGATTCAGGCCCTGTGGGCAGGTCTGTGGCCCTGGGGTGCTTCCCTGGCAGGTCGCGGGGCGGGGGTGGCCAAGAAGGTGGAATCTCCCCGGATGCCCTGCAAATGTCCCCTCAGCCACGTCTCAGGAACACCGCAGGGAGGGCTACCGTAGTGACGCGGCTCAGGTGCAGCGAATGAGGCACAGCGTCTGAGACCCAGTCACCAGGTGCTGAGTGGGGGAGCTAGGCTCCTATTGCCCCAGATGCACATGGCCGGACAGGCGGCTCCAGGCTCTCGTACACAGGAGAGGTCTGGTGTGAACCACCCCCGAGCCTGCTGTGGACAGACGCTGTGCTGAGGGCCCGCGCCCAGCTCCGTGTCTCTCTCACGTCCGCAGTGCCCGTCGAGGCCGACATGGAACACTGCAGGAGGCAGCTTGCGTAGCGCCGTGTGCCTGCGAGGGCCGTCACGGCTACGGGGGTGCCTTCGCTCACGCCTGTGCTTCTTGAGGGATTTCAGAGCAAGCCTCTCAAGGTCAGGGCCTTTCTGGGCGTCAGGGCGGCCACAGTCCTGCTTCAGAGAGGGACGCGACAGCCCCCTCTCACTCCTCCAGCAGGGGCTGGCGTGCGGCTCTCTGCCCAGAAACCCGTCCCGGTGACTGCCTTGATCGGTAGTTTGGTGAAGGGATGCCGTGACTTCCAGGGACGGGAATGCTTGCTTGGGACCCAGGCATCCCATTCTGAGGACGAGGAAACCTGGGAAGCCCACTGGGAGGCCACGGGGAGAGGAGCGGAGCGCAGCCTGTACCCATGCGGGGCATCCCCTCCGACACACCGGCCTGTGCATGTGGGTCACGTGGCCATGGGTCCTCCAGCCGCCCGAGCTGGAGCTGCTGAGGCCGCGGAGCCGTCCCGACCAAACCCCGAGCCGAGTGCAGACTCATGAGAACAGGCTGCATACTGCTTGAAGCTGCCGCCACCTCTCATCTGCCAATCCCGCGAGAGTGCCGGGCACCGTCAGGTCCAACCAGGGTGACACAGGGCACCTGACGGCACTTCTGCTAGGCGGTGCGGGCACTTCCTCCACCACCTCCGCACTTCACACCACCCCTGTGTGTGCGAAGCGGCCTCTGTGTGTGCAAACAGGTGGCCTCTGGCTCTCATGAGGGGCTGGGGCGGCTGGGTCCCAGGGGAACAGCAAAGTTCAGGTGCCGGCAACGCTGCTTCGACAGCCCCTGAGAAACGCCACGCGGCCCAGGACGCCGCCGGCTGCATGGCATGATGAAGCAAAGCACGGCCTGTTGCCGTCCTGAGACCGCCAGGGACCCAGGCCACAGCCGCTCCTCGGGTTGTCTCCAGGACAGAAGCGGACCCCGAGATGCCCTGGAGCTGGACGGCTGCCTCAGGAAGGGGGGCCCGTGTGAGCGTTGGCCCTGCGTGCGGCCGGGTCTCTGCTCTGCTCCCGCCTGTGTCCGCAGGTGCCATGTGGCCACGGGCAGGACAGGCTCCCGGAATTTCACAGGGCGCGTGGAGCGACTGAGGCAGCAGGCAGAGCTCGACCACGGCTGCTGGACCGTGACACCTGCGACCCCCGCCTTCGCCCACCAGCTGTCCTCGGGGCGGCACGTTCTTGGCCTCCTGGTCCCGGGCTCTCTGGGCATGGGTGTACCCACTGTGACGATGGAGATTTAGGACGTGGCCCGCAGACTGTGATGAGCAATGGGTGTGTCCCCCTGGGCCAGCCGTCGGCCGCACTCCGGGCTGGCTCTAGGTGAGTCCCAGCTGCCATCAGCACACGGAGTCAGAACCATGCTTGGATCCGCCCTTGGGAAAGGACTGAGCGCCACCAGAGGCAGAACACCCGGGCAGGCAGCCCAGCTCATGCGCATCTGGCACGAGGGCTCCGCCACCCCGACGTCCTCAACCAGAGGGGCTCTGGCTCCAAAGACGTGGCGGGCCTCGTGCGCCCGACTCCACCAGGGCCATGGCAGCCTGTTCTGGCCCACCGCGTTGCACCCACCTCAGATAGCGCCATCCGCCTAATCTGGGCTAGGGGCCCTGGACTCGCAGCTCTCGGTTCATCTGCTGCCCCCACCCCGCTCCCACCCTGGGCTGTGCCAAATCCTCTTCGGGCACAGCCTACCGAGGCCTGCGATATGTGCCCAAGCCTTCCGCCTTTCGGAAGCGACAGTGCTGGGCCATCATGTGGGTGAAGGTGGATCTGTGACTGACTGCCCTATCGTACCTCTGCCCAGATCTGACCCAGACCTGTCGTCACACGGAATTTGCCTAGCAAGGAGAGCTGGGCCGTGCAGACGTCATTTCCAGGAACTGCCATTCAGGAAGGCACCCGGGATCCCCACACTGCCCTGCAGCTGTGGGCACCCCTGCTGTGTCTGGGATGAGGCCTGCCCGGGGCCCGGTCCTCACGGCCCCCAGCACTAGCAGCACTGCCCTAGCCGGCCTCTCCTACTGTGGGATCGCGTAGGCTCGGCCTGTGCCCGGCATCCTCTCCTGCTAGTTGTGGCACAGCCCCCAGATGCCCTCGCAAGACACAACGAGCTCTTTTCCATAAGGTTGTCTTCCCCCTGGGAACCCCGACTGCCCCTGCTGCCCGAGCCCTGTCCGGGGCCAAGCCCACGCGCAAGCAGGAAGACCTGACGCACACAGCGGGGGCTGCTGCACCGTGCCCGAGGGCACGCATGGCCGCGGTGGCTGCGTGAGCACGCTCCGGCTGATGCCAGGTGCACATACATGGGCTCCCTTTCTGAGTGCCAGTGTGCGTAGGGTACCTCCAAAACGAGGGCAGTAAAGAAAGCAAACATGTGGAGGGTGTGCAGCCTGCAGGGAGGCCGCAGGGGCATCACATGTAAGCACGTAGGTCCTCGCCTGCCCCGCCACCACGCACCGACCTGTTTTCCTGAGAGGGAAGTCATCCTTGGCGTCGTACATCCCCAGGACCGGGTGGTTGTAGGAGGCCGACACACTGCTCTGGGGTGGAGAGCTCTGGTCCAGGGAGCTGTGCTGCGTTTTCCTGGGGAGAAGGCAGAGGCGGGTCAGCAGGCTCTGTGGCGTCCTGTGCTGGAAAGCCTGCCGTGGGCCCATGCTAGCCCTCACCTCAGGGCCTGGCCGGCCGCAGCTACCACCTCCTGGACGGGCGGGCCCTGCTAGGGGAGCTGGAACGTGGCAAAGCCAGCGACGCTGCGCAGCGAGCTGTGACCCAGGTCCCTCCACTGCGGGGCTCCTCTCCAGGGCCCTCATACCACAGCCTGCACTGGCCTGCCTCACCCTCAGGGTCCCCAATGGCCACGCAGAGCCTGGCCGCCAGTACGAGGGAGGAATGCAGGTGGGCGACAGGTGAGAAACTAAGGTGAGGCACAGGCAGCCAGGCAGGTGGGGACGGTCTGGAGTGGGGCATGGGTTGTGACCTGCAGGGCCCGCTGCGCCTGAAGCAGGAGCCTGTGGGGACTTTGGCAGCAGCAACGCCTCCCTCTGCACCCAGCATCACCAGAAGGTCACCCGGTCACTGTCTGTCCTGGGGAGGGACAGCATGGCAGCAGCTGCCCCACCAGGGAGTCGATCGACACTGCGCAAAACGCACTCCCTTCATGAAAACCAAACCCAGAGCAAAACCTTCCAACAACCAGCTAGGAGAGGCGACGGGGCATGCTGGGAGCCGAGGCAGGGAGGCACCAGCCTTGGCCGACCGTCAGCGTGGCCTCTCCTGAAGACAGCACCAGCCGCATCTCGCTTAAACACCAAGAGTCAGAACCGCCAGATGGCATAATGGTTCTATCACTGGACTCTCAGGTAACTGACCACGGTTCAAGTCCCAGACCCAGTGGCTTAAACTCACGCCGGGTACGGGTACACGCGTGCCCAAGATCCTGAGAGGAGAATGGAAGAGAAGGAGTTCCACAGTGGCCCTCTCCCTTTGGGGAGGTGATGTCTTGCTTTCTGTCTCTGTCTCTCCAGCAAGTGCATGTGCCCTATAGCAAACATCTCTCTTAAACAAAACAAAACAAACAGCGAGCGGCAACACATCCTGTCTTTAGACTGCACTCTGCTTAACTGGAAACAGGCTGGCCAGCTTACCGACCCGGCGCTTGTTACACTATTTACACACAGAGCCACAGCCACACCTGGAGCAGCTCCCAGCGTGCACAGGTGTATGTAAATACCCAGAGACGGACGTGCGGGAAGGACCGGAGGCAGATGGGCCAGCGGGCGCTTGTCTGGGCTGTGGGGCGGGGTCTGGATCAGCAGCAGAAGAGCTCGGAAAATTCCAGAGAGCTAAGCCCTCCAGGCCACGCCCACCTGCGAGGGCACAGCTCCTTCCAGAGGACTGCTCTGTCTGGTTTCCTGGGTGATGGCTGGGAGTGCAGGCTGGGGACACACGTCTACACCTGAGTACCGGCTGTGGCCTCGCGTGGGACCATGTCCCTGGGCAGGAGGCCTCACTTCTCCCTGGCATCCTCCCTGGACACCCAAGCCTCATTTTGGTGCCCAGTCTCCCATGGTCTCGTGACAGGTACAGCACGATACTTCTCTGCGGAGTCCCATTTCGGGCCATACCCCAGGGAAACATGGTCCCAGCCCGCCCAGCCCTCTCGAGCGCCGAGCGCCAAGCCAAGGTGGGCCCTCTCAGCATCCAGCCCTCTGTACGGTGAGCTTGGCGGATGAGGCCTGCAAGCCTCGTGCTGAGACGGGACAGTCTAATCGGCAGCAAGAACGATCTAGTAAGAAATCCAGGGACAGTAAGTTACGTAAGTACAAGTAACAAACAGTAACCACCGCTATGGCTTACCCTTTCCTGGCAGGGTGTGTTTACAGTAGAACCGGGTCTTGGAACTGGACGTAAGATCGTTATTTCCGCTTACGGCTTGCACCTGAGACTTCGTCAGGCAGAAAACCCTCACTTCCTCGTCAAACCTCAGGGAGCCAGGACCAGGCTCCGGGCAGGCTGAGCCTTCGGCTGAGTCTGAGGACTTGCAGAGCGGGGTACTGGTCCCGTGCTCCCCGCCCCTGAGTCAGGCACAGCCTCCCCAACCATGCGGCCAAGAGAGGCTGCCTCACTGTGCTGCCCCTCCAGGGTCTGGCAGGGTGGCCCTGGACACGCAGCACCCCGGGCTCCGCAGGTGTGACCCCAGTGAGGAAGGATATGGAAGTGTGAGCATGGGCTGTGCACACACACCCTCACCTAATCCACAGGTGTGTACCCATGCCCACACTCACCCACATTGCATCTATGAGCACATTCACCACTTGTATCCCACACACACATACATGCACACAATCCACCTGCATCCCACATACGAGCCACACTCACGCGCACCTCTCCTGCTCCCCATACACATACCACGCTCACACACCCTCTTTCCTGCATGCCACACACACCTAACGTGTGCACACATTTTACCTACGTCACATATACACACGGACACAAATCAACACACCTCAGATGCACCCTCCATACATGTACCTGAACACACACACTGCACACATACTCACCTGCACCCCACATACATAGTTCCACGTTCATATACACACCTACACAAACATGCATGCACATACACCTCACCTGCACCCCGCATATAAGCAGCCACACACACACCCTACACACACCTCACCTGTACCCCACATACGCACACCCACACTCCCCACATACACCTCCCCTGTAACCCACATACAAACACGAATACATACACACACACATCGGTACCCCACATACACACACCCACACTCCCCACATTCACGTCCCCTGTAACCCACATACACACACGAATACATACGCACACGCATTGGTACCCCACATACACACCCAAGATCCCCACATTCACGTCCCCTGTAACCCATACACACACGAATACATACGCACACACATCGGTACCCCACATACACACACTCATACTCATACATACAGACTCCTCATTTGCATCCAACATACACACAGCCACACACAACCCTCATATACCTGGTCTACAACACACACACACACCACACAACACACCTTACCTGCACCACTCCACACACAACCCCCACACCTCGTCTGCAATACACACACACACACACCCCTTATCCGCACCTCCCCACACCTTATCCACACTACTCCACACACACACCCCTTGTCTGCACCCCACTCTCTCACACTGGTCACCGGCCACCCCGCGTGTTCCCAAGAGCAGCACGGCTCCTCTGGCCTCCCTCCACTCTGAGCCTACACGAGCAGTCCGGGGACCAGCACAGAGTGGGAGGGCAGGAGGCTGCCGTGAGACCTGGGCGGGCCTGGGCACCATCTCCAGCGTAGTCCTGCCTCCTCTGAAGACCGGAAACCAAACACCCTTCGCTTTCTTTCTAAGCAATACCTCAATTACCTAAGGGGCAGCCACGGGAAACGAGTACTCTAGGAAGTTATGTGTGGCTTTAAACAGTTTGTGCATCAAAATAAACTCGTATGTTAACATTATTTTTACACAGTTTTTAAAGCTCCCACAATGAATAAATCTCAACACAAATTCAACCACCTAACTACGAACTGCTGGCCTCCCCCTCTCAGCATGCTTACACCGACGGCTTAAAGTAGGCAAACCCCAGTGCCCGCGTGCCTACATAAACTTCTGGGATCCACATCTGAGTGGACGGACAGGACCAGGACTGATTCTGGAAAGCCATCTGGCCCGATCCAGCCAAGGCTGTCACTTTAACACGTGGTCGGCGTCAAGTTACCAGCAGCTTTAGCCCATCTGCACTGGGCGTCAGGAGTCCTGCTACCCCCGTGTCTCACAGTGGTGGCCCCGCTGCAGTGGACAGGGAATGAGAAGTGGGAAGAGTGACCTCGCAAGCCCATGGAGTCACATGACGGTGCGTCTCACAGCTGCCCGCGCCTCCGCCCACACAGTGGCCTCTCGGCCTGTTCAGCCGGCGTCCGGCCAAGACACAGCAGTGTGGCCAGATCCAAGGTCCACATCGCAGAGTGGCGGGTGGACACTGTGACAGGCCTGTCCAAGCCCAGAGTCTGCATGTCACCCGTGTCTCCGCAGGGCTGACGCCTGTAACTGCTCAGAATTCTGGTGCCCACAGCACACCCTGTAAGACCATTCAGCTGGGGCGGGCACCAGGCTTGTTTCTGTCCTTCGGCACACACGCGCCAGGCTGCCATGACCGCAAGAACACAGGTATGTGTGTGGCCGCGATTTCACTGGCCTTGGGCAAATACCTCGAAAGGGCACTGGTGCGTTGGAGGCAGGCGGGCACTCGCTCTCATAAGGAACTGCCAGCTGTTCCCTGACGTGGCTGAGCCACGCAAACCCCCAAGGCAGCCCCTGGAGACCAGCCTCCAGGCTCTGCCCACAGGGGACTGGTAAAGAGTGGCCACGCCCGCGGGCATCTCACTGTGGTAGGAGCTTCTCCTCCGACTGGAGGTGCTGGACGTCTCCTCACGGCGCGTCAGCTTGCTTTGTGAGCAACTTGGTCTTTTGCCTACTTTTCATTATTATTATTATTACTGAGTTACAAAAAGGCCAATATACTCTGGATACAAGTGATTCATCAGGTACGAACACTGTCAATATTTGATTCCTTTCTGTAGCTTGCCATTTTAGTTTATCTTTAGAGATTTTTGTTATAGGGTGCGTGTGCTCGCCAGAGACAGAAGGCGAGAAATCACCCCCCAGAGGGTATGGCCATGCCGCAATCCCTTCTCCTCCACTCTCCTCTTGGGACTTTGGACACACATGCACATGCACCCAGCTTGAGTTTCAAGCCGCCAGGTCCAGGACTCGAACTGTGGTCCTGGATGTGGGAGTCCAGCACCTTAACCGCTATGCCACCTGTTGGCCCTGCCTTTTTATTTTACTAATGATGCCTTATTTTATTTTAATTAGCCAGATGCTTTGTATATATGCTAGAGAGACAGAGTGAGAAAGAGAGAGAGATGCCACATCCCTTCTCCTCCATTCTGCCTGCCTTTCAGGATCTTGGGCACACACATGCTGGGATAGTTTTTAAGCTGCTAGGCCAGGACTCGAACTGCACGGTTGGCCATGTGAGATCCAGCTGTCTTAATCACCAAGCCACGGGCTGGCCCCTTAGTGTCCCCCCTTTCTAAAGTCTGCTATAGGGTGCATGCGCTCGCCTGGGGCATGAGAAAGCACCCTCTGGAAGGGAGAGCACGCTGCCCTATGCTCTCCTTTCGGGATTTTGGGGATGCATGTACACACCCCCAGTATGTGTTCCAAGCTGTTGGACCCAGGATCTGAGCCACACGGTCAACCATGTGGGATCCGGTGCCATAACCTCCAAGGTGTTTGCTGGCTCAATGACTTTTTAAAAAACAGAACTCTGAAATAAAGTGTTGACAGCAATGTTTCCAGTTTCCGGTTTGTAGTCAAGATCTGGTGCCCTAGGAGACCTGTGCCGAGTCCTCCCCCAGGGCTATGCAGCTCCTGCTCTGCCCTCTAGTTCTCCTGGCTCAGGGTTTGTGCTGTCTCCACATGAGCTGTGGTGTGGGGCTGGGGTCACAGCACACTGCTTCCCCCACGCACTCCGTTTTCTGACAATGTTCCTGCTGTCCTGCTGCAGCTCAATGTGGGAACCCTTGGCTCGAGTCCCAGTGTGGTGACACTACAAAGACCAGCCTGCCCTGCTGCCTCCTCGGGCAAGTGTCCTCCAGGCCCAGCTGGTACGGCCAGACCCTGCCCCAGTGGGTACTGCGTGCCCCCCCTGCCGTTAATCCCCAGCAAACAGGCGTGTCCAGGTCGGGTCTGCTCACCAGGGCTCCCGCCCAGCCCGGATGCTCCCCTCTTCTCCATAAGCCCCTTCCCCACACCCAGCTCCTCGTCAAGTTCTCAGCGTCCATGCTGCCCAGAGTGGCCTCCGGGCCCTGCCACCCGCCCCTCCTCGCCCAGTCCCGCCTCTCCCTCTCCCCCTCCCACCCAATCCCGGGATGTGGGCTTGGCTGCCCGCCTCCCCTCCTCGGGCTCCTCTTGCCACCCCTCCTTCCTGACCCCACAGAGCCACTGCCCCAGAGGCCCCTGCTGTTCCCCAGCCCCGGCCCCTTCCTGCTCACTCAGTGAGCCCCACGGTCACCATCTGAGCTGCTCCTCACCTTTGACCCTCGCTACATCTTCCTGGCAGCCCCAACCTGCCCAACCAGGGGACAGCGGGCTTCTCACCGGGAAACCATGTGGTGGGACGATCTCTAGTGAGAGGCCACAGACAAACATGGGGTCTCCAGGGCCACTGGCATTGGCTGCCTATCACGGACACTGTTGTCCCCTCCTCCCTGCCAGTTTCAGGGTCACGCTTTATCACACAAACGCCCACGGGATGCTTGGGGTGTACGTAGCAGGTGCAGGAGCTTGAGGAGCTGAGGGGCGCCGTGGGAGGAAACGCCTTCGGGTGATGGCCGCTGCCGTCCACGGGACCAGCGGATGGCCCAGTGGGAATGGCTGGGGGCGGCCCCCCCCGCCCCCTGGGCACTGCACCACCTGCCACTCCGAGGTCAGGCCAGCTCTACTGCTTTGCCAGGGGCAGTGCTGAGCACATTTCGATATTTGAAAACAACACTCTGAGTTTGTTCTAGGAAAGAAACGACTCTTGAGGTCAGCAAGAAGCAATTTCAGCAGACATCTGCTTCCAGGTAGTGGGTTAAGCCCCACGATGGCAACCATGCAAACTCGGCCTCTGTGAACGGCCGGCTCACGCCGTGCCCCTTCCTGGGGGTGAACCCTCTGGCCAAAAGCAGAATCCCTAGGACAATGAGCATACTTCTGCACCAGGCTCCCCCATTCTGAGTGGGTGTGAATTTCTGCAAGGGGGGTCCCCCATTTTGAGTGGGTGTGGACTTCCGCACCGGGCTCCCCTATTCTGAGTGGGTGTGAATTTCTGCAAGGGGGGTCCCCCATTTTGAGTGGGTGTGGACTTCTGCACCGGGCTCCCCCATTCTGAGTGGTGTAGACTTCTGCACTGGGCTCCCTCTGGGTGGTGTGGATTTCTGCATTGTGGTTCGCCCATTCTGAGTGGGTGTGGACTTCGGCACCGGGCTCCCCCATTCTGAGTGGTGTGGATTTCTACATTGTGGCTCGCCCATTCTGAGTGGGTGTGGACTTCTGCACCAGGCTCTCCCATTCTAAGTGGGTGTGAATTTCTGCACCGGGGCTCCCCCTGTTCTAAGCAGGACCCAGAAGCCTGTTCCTCAGGCTCTGGAGGGGCTCAACACAACGGCACCATAAACAGAGGTGCTTTAACAGCTTCAGAATCGGGATGGCGTGGGGCTGAGATGTGCAGCTGCATACGGCCCACTTGGGCTGGGCTCCAGGGCACGAATCATGCCCAGGCCCCAGCCCAGGGCATCAACTCCGTCCCTGGCGGGATGACCACCAGCCTGTAAGCTGCTGGCCATGTGGCCCCACTCCCTGGGGGCTGACCGCCAGCCTGGGAGCCACCGGCTGCGCTGCCC